TGGTCATCCCCATAATGTAAACGGCAAAAGTGGGCTCTATTAGTATTACACTTCTCAAACTCACTCTTCCATTGAGATAATAAAGACATTGGTACAACAATCAAAGTGGTTCGCGATGCATATGGTTTCTTTGGTTTTAACAACTGTGGCGAGTTATCATACGGAACCGAATTGATTAATGCAAGTGTAGATATGGTTTTTCCCAACCCCATTTCGTCTGCCAAAATGCCTCCACGTAAACTAGATTTTATAACAGGTTTTTCAAGAGAAAGTTCCCCATTATACATGTTAGCATAAAAATACTTTTCCGTTTGACTTTGAGTAGGATCTTGCGAATCCTGTTGTGAGTCGGGCCATCTGTACTTTCGCCAAAGTGGGTTCACACTACCTAAACTTTCTAATTCACTTCTTGCTTGGGTCGATAATTTGTCATCATTCAGAATCATTTCTAAAACGTCCAACTCTTTTTCTCTAGCCAACATCCAGGATAGCCCATGTTTTTGATAGCCTCTCAAATCTAGTTTGAAATTTTCCTTTGGTGGAGTAGTAGTTTCTGGCAAACCTTCCAAAATTCTCAACTGATTATTACTCAGATAAAATTCTCTTAATTGATCAAGGTTAAGTTCAGATATGGGTTGATCTTCCAGTTTAGAATCACTGTCTGAATCAACCTCAATTATCTCCTCCTCGGCTTCGTCATCATCGTCCATAATTTTGAGTGGTCGGATTCGGAGTCTATCGAATAAACTAGCAAGTGAGGATTGGCGGAGTCTTAACGTTGCTTCTCCTTCGCTTTCCTTTGAGAAATTGAAATTGGACTTTTTCATGTCAACTGGATTTTCAATAGCATCAAAGTTTTTCACAAATCCCATGTTACATAAATTCACTTCAATCTCTATGAAGAATGTGTCACCAATAGATAGCCGAGACCTTGTCTCTTCGAGTATTTTTGCCTTAAATGAGGCTATTTTCAAGTCTATTAATGGAGTAAGTATACGAGCCATTTCTTCTGGAACTTTTCCAATTTCCCTATCCTTATGATATATTCTCACATATGTACTTTTCATCATAGTTGTGTTCTTAGGAACAATTCTTCGTAGTTCTAACTCTTCTTGATATTTCAATGGCTTCATAGTCGGTCTGGTTGCCATTGCCAGCGAATTCATAGTTCCAATAAACCTTTCCCATACGTCTTCTTCTTCTTTTTCTTTTTCTTCCTCCTGCTCTTGACTAGGGCTTTTATTGAACTCCTTGATGAATTCAGTTACTTTGATTCTTTTTCTTGGTGATTGCAATTGAGATGGTATCAGCGAGTCTGTAAATGACGAATCTCTCAGTGCTCTCTTTGGTGGATTCTCTGGCGCCCTGGGTAAGTCACTGGGGTCTGGCGGATTGGTCAATAATTCGGAGACTGCAAATACAACAGGATTTTGCTTCTGTGAGTACTTGTCATATAAATAATTTATAATACTCTGGGATACCTCGCCAACATTTTGAGTCAACTCTTTCTTGAAATGATAATGAGAAATTCGTGATGATTTAGAAGTTTCAGCTTGCTGTTGTTTGACTTCAACCTCTTCTTCCTCTTCGTCATCATCATCATCTTGAACAAACAAACTATCGGAATGATCACTAGGGTATGACGGTTGTTCCTCGTCAGGCTCGTCACTGGATGACTTCACATCCTCTGGTTTGAAAAATCGTTTCTTTGCGGCTCTCGGTAGCAGGTTTCTCATGTAAGTGGTGATGTTGTCGTTGTGAAAAGAAACTTGTCTACTGGGGACGCGATACATTCAAAAAAAAAAAAAAAAAAAAATCATAAAATACGCGGCGATTCTTGCAAAATGACCAGAGATTTAGAATTAGAACGTCTACTATGCAAATTGTTTTATGATCTACAATTGTATTTCTCATAGAAGTAAACTATTATATACTAATACTACCTGTTATACATCTATAATTTAAAATTGTTCATACTTTGATTTTTCTTAATATTACCTTGAGTATCTCTGAAATCCCCATTCTTGTCAATAAGAGTGATATTCTTAGCTTTGGATAACGTTTCAGTAACTTTAACCTTTTTGTTTTCTTGAGGTTTATTCTCCATTGCTCTCTTTCTCTTTCTCTTGGCAGCTCTTCTCAATCTGAGCTTTTGTTGTTTATCCATTTCATCCTTTGAATAAGTCAAGCCACCTTTATAAATTTCCTGAGGTGCCAATTTACTCTCGGTACCAACAGCATGAAGAGAGGCATCTTCAAGGTTACCATCTTTGACTTTGATTTCAAAACTATTATAGGCAGATTGAGCTCTGTCTAACTGTGACATTACGGTTTTGAACAACTCGGAAATTTCCTCTTTGAGAGCATCTTTGGCTGGATCTTCTTTTACATCGTCCTTTTGATGGTATTCGTCCTCATATAGTTCAGCTAATGATTTCTTTTCAGTTGGAATTTCAAACTGTTCAGTTGTTTTGTGATGAGGTATTTCTGTCATAACTCTTCTTGGTAAGTCATCAAATTCCCCTTCTTTAATTCTTTTAATAATCAATGCCTCTAAAGTCTGAGTGGATTCTTCTGTTATTGTCGGTACGGGTTTGGCAGTTCTGTCAAATTTTAATTCATCAGTATCCAACAAGGATCCTCTGTTGGCAGAGCTTACCTCCCCTTTCATGGTCCATTTTTTAGGCTCAATTAATTCAGCTTCAAGTTTGGCTATTTCAGCTTGAATAGCCCTTTGCCTTTTTTGAAATGAAGACAAGGACTTTTCCGATTCTTCTTCTTCCTCTTCATCCTCGTCACCAAACATATCACGCATGGTCTCACCCACTGCATACTCGTCTTCATTTAGTTCACCACCACGTTCTCCTTCTCCTTCTTCCTCGTTGTCTTCAATGTCTTCATCATCTTTATTTTTGTTTCCTTTTTTACCACCAAAGAAGTCGGAATAATAATCTACCACTTCACTATCACTATCACTTTCTTCCTCTTCGTCTTCGTCTTCGTCATCCTCGTCGTCGTTTCCAAAATCGTCTTTTTCCATTGCTAAAATCTGTTTATTGAATTCGTCAATATCGAAAAATCCATCATTCAATCCAAATGCATCTTTTTTATATTCTGTTTCATCATTTTCCTCTTCTTCAGATTGTTGTTCTTCACTCAATTCATTTTCTTCTTCTTCTTCTTCTTTCTCCCCTTCGAGTTCTTGTTCAGACTCTTCTGGTTGTTTTTCCTCTAATTCTCCTCTTTCTTCATCGTCTTTTTCTTCTTCATCGACCTCATCGGATTGTTCTTGTTCGGAAAGATCTTCTTCTGATTGTTCTTCAGGATCTTCCATCATCTCAAGTCTTTCTACCACATTTGGGATCTTTTCTCCAAGCAATTTTTCGCCAACACCATCAAGAACCATCTTGGTTTGGCCAAACACTTGTGTAGAATCTAACCCATCAACATAAATCTCATCTAACACAGAATATTCTTTAGTTAAAGGGTCCAAAAATGATTTTGCCAATAAGTTGAAGTAACTACTCTTCTCCTTCAAGTTGAAAATCTCTTGAGGTTTATCTTGTAATAATTGTAGGATATCTTGACTCATTGTGTTGCTTGCCATCACCAATAATCCCATCTTCAGTTTTTTTTTCATTGATTATTTTTTTTTTCTGTTTAAGTGAAAATTTGAGATGTCTTCAGAAAATCTTTTTATTACACAAAATGGATATAACGTGTATAAACTCTTTCTAATGTGTATTTTTTTTTTCTATAATTTCTATACAAAACGGGTATATATAAAGTGTGAAACAAAAAAAAAATCACACCGGGTATCAGAAATTAGCCATGGCATGCAAAATTTGGGCAGCACTTGCATTGACTAATAAACTTTTCTTTGCTGGTTTGGAAGGATCATTACTACAAAAGATTGAATTGTCTTGTGTGAAACTACCAGCAAATGATTTACTGTATCTTTGATAAGTTGATGCAGTTGATTTGGAAATCAGATTGAAATACAAACTTTGATCATTTGGGTCTTGTAAATATTCATAAATATAGTTACCTTGTCTAACAACTTCATCTTTAAACTTTCCAAATTCATCACTCAATTGGAAAGCGTCAGCGAACCCAACGAATAACAAATGGACATATTCTAAGTTGTTATTCCAAAGTCCATTATCGGTATAAAATGCTCCCTCGGTATCGGTAGCAGCTTGAGCCAATTGTAAAGCCTTGTTCAACATATCTTTATCATTTTTGAAGTTATGCAAATGAGCCAAGGTACTAAGAGCACAGCCAACAGTATAGGTTAACTTCCCTTTGTCTATTTGACTCAAATCATTCTTGTCGGTACCATCATAGAATAAATGATCACTTGGATCTTGAAGATGATCAAACATAAAGTTAACACAATCGTAAGCAAAATCAAGCAACGAACTGTCACTATTGTCGACTTCATACAATCTCACAGCAGTTAAAGCGGCTTCAATGGTGGAAATTGATGCGATATAATTTTTATCCTTTTTCCAAATTACACCACCATTTGGACCCCACTGTGTCTTGATGTATGACATAATGTCTTTAGCACTTTGTAAATAGTCTTTGTTTCCGGTTAATTTGTAACCTTGTATGAATACCCATGCTAATTGAGCATTATCATCGGAATAGATTTCCTCACCGTTATTTGGAGTAGCAAAAAATGCACCTGTTTCTGGATCATGATAATCCATGATTCTTTCCAAAGTGACATCAACTCCTGATTTATCCCCAGTATTGGCAATTGCTTTACCCAAAACAGCCATGTTCCATAAAACAGGCATGGAATATTCACCATCCCCACAAATTTCATCATCATCGTTCCATTTACCTTTGTTGGAAATCCAGAAACGTTGCCAAAGTTTGAACACGGTGTTGTAAAAAGAATTCCCAGTTTGAGATTGAGAAGAAAGGACTGAACTTGCTGCTGATGCAGGAGCACTTGAAGATGAACTAGCAACAGAAGAAGATGAAGTGGCGGAGGATAAAGAAGAACTAGTAGTACTGGTTGAGCTAGAGGTAGTTGGTTTGGCTGATGCGCTTGTTGTCGTGGTAACCGAAGCCGTTGAGATTGGTACGGGTCCCGCACCGTTTGCACTTACAGTAACAACTTGAACAGGGGCTGTGACCACAACAGTACGGATAATGACGTTTGCAGGAGCAGCAGAAGTGAGCGACAAGAACAATAGCACTAAAAGGGGATTCATGAATGAACGTAATTGTAATTCTAGATTTAACAACACCAAATCAAAAAAAAAAATAAAAGAAAATAAAAAAAACCCTGAAACAAGTAGACTTCGTAATCGATTTATATATTCTCCCTTTGAATCTGTTGTCCTTCTGCCCCCCTTGAACATCTCATCAGTAAAACTATCCTTTTTTTTTTACTAGGGAATTTGCGAGTTGTGTTTGTTTCTTTATCTTTGAAATTGTTACTAAAACGGAAAAATTTTTGCAGCATTTTTACCAAACGTGCGTATAAATTGGGTTGTGAAACAATTTACATGCCTAACCTTATGAAACACACACAGGCAAGAAAAAGAGAGTGTGTGGGAAAAACAAAAAAGGGATGAAAAAAAAAAAAAAAAAAAAAAAAAAAAAAAAAAGAAAACAATTTACAATAAAGAAGTCCTCCTAACTATAATGCTGAAAATACTACAACATCCTATATTAGTTAATCCAACACGTTGGTTAAGATCTAACAAGAAACATGCTTCAGATTTGTATCAACGCGGGTATTACCCATCGTTACAAAACAACCCATTCGCATCGGCATTGACACGACTTGAAGCAAATTCTCCAACTACTACAATACCACATGGTGATGGAATTTCTTTGGTTGTTTCCAAACAAAATTTAAATCTGGGCAAACAACACCTCACACTTAATCCAAGGATAGGCGAAGAGATTCATGAGCCTAGTAGATTGATCATCAACAGCTCAAAGTACATTAAGACAATGATCAACAATCCAAAAGCCACTCAAAAGTTGATTCCTATGCAATTTATTATAAAAGGAAAGCTAATGAAAAACCACATCACTTTACAAGAAAATATACTAGAAACCATTGAGGAAATTTACAAACAGAAAATAGAAACTTTAATCGCACATATCGCACAGGAAGATTCAGGAGAGAATGGTATTGTTTTGACTAATCTGGACATTCTTATACAAATTCAGGGGGGAATTGCTTATATAAGTAATCGTGGTGTGTTTCAAGGTCGAGAGTTATATATAGACTACGATAAACATCCGGAACTTTCACGTCTAATAATAATGTACACTGATTTCAAATATCTATAATCAAATAAAAGATCTATACTACCCAGATGGCAAAGAATGTCATAATCAAGTTTGTAATAAATGATGGTTGGTATGAAATACCAGTATTTTTCTTAGAAGATGTTGTAGCAGTTTGAGCAGCAACACTGGACAAAGTAGTAGACACAGCATTGCCTGCTTTGTTAACCCAAGAGTTGACACTTGAAGCATCAACAGTTGAATCAAAGGAAGTAGAGTTGGAAACCCAAACAATGGCATTTCCTTCAGAATCAAAAGCGACACCACCAGTCATGGTAGCTCCTAACTCACGATTGATATAACCTGGAGCAGCTAAACCAGTTTCAATTTGATCGGTACCTTGATAATCGTGGAGGGTACTGTACAAGTGAAGGTATTCGGTGGTGTTCATAACTTCAAAAACATCAAATTCACCACAGCCGGATCTCCAACAAGAACAGTTGACATTATTTGAATATTGAGAAGTTCTTGGGATATGGGCATTCAAAAGCCAAATTGCTGGCATATTGTAATTGGAAATAGAAGTATCGGTGCTAGTTTCGTTTGGCATTTTAAATTCAAACAAAAACATCTTGGTAGTACCGTAGAAACCATGGTATGCTGGAATATCGTCTCTGTAAACACCACAATCGTTATTGTAACCAGATTTACCACAAGTAACATTGGAGAAAATGACAAACTCGTCATTTGAACTGATCAAGGTACCTTCTGCTAAAACAGTGGATCCACTGGCTTTTGAAACACCATCACTATCGGCATATGTCAATCCCAAACCTAAACATGATGAATTTTCACCAGCTTTGGTTAAAAAGGTAACATTATCACTGGTTCCACTAGATGCATCATAATAACTCAATCTATTCCAGTTCCCAGAACTATCATCTCCATATGTAAAGCCGTCAGAAACATATGCGGCGAATTTATTTAAAATTAAAGGACCACGGAAGTGCACGGAAAGTTCTTCATTTAATGGGGCATTTGAACCTGAAAAGCTTACAGGGTCACTATTGACTTCACATGAACACGAGTCGGAGTAAATATTTTCTAATTTGCTAACTTGATTATAAGTTCCGGAGTATCCTAAATTATCAAATTGAATAACTTCAACTTCTTGCTTTGCAACTGCCAAGCCAGAAAGCAATGTCGACAACAAAACTGATGAGAATAACATTATTTAACGAGTGATAGTTAAGAATAATTAACAAAATAAAATGAAACAGTAAAAGAGGAAAAAAAACACAAGGGAATGTGAAATATTTTTATTAGTTGGATGTGATAAACTTTATATAGTTGTGCGATCCGAAAAATTAATGCATGGCTTAGGGGGAAACGAATAAATTATCCTCTTCGGTGATATTATTTTTTTTCCCACTCGCTCTCTTTCCCTCGTTTCTTCTTCTTCTACCGATCCAATTAATTATCTAAATTTAGCCCATATGTAAACACTTAAATTACATTAAATCCAAACTATGAACCTAATTTAGACTGCGTTTACGTAATAGCCTTGCAATTATTGATTCATTTCAACATTGGAATGACTCTTTAATATAGAATCCTACCATCCCACCTGTTCCGGTAAATCACATCCCACCAAGGCTTCGTCCCAAATGGCTGTTATAGCCATGAGACAAGAAAAAAAAATCATTCATGCGCCTCATCGGAACACAAAAAAAGTCTAGATCCAATCACGTGTTCCGTGTGTATACCTCCGTGTCGTATGTGTAAATTTTTCGTTCTTTTCTTTTTTTTTTTGTCTCTGTATTTTTTTTTTTTCACCAAATAAGAATTCAATGTAGCTCCACACATATACGCAATACTCAACATTAGATCTACTCTCTTGCACTTTCCATGAGATTTTTACGCAATTACACCACATCATGTTTACTGGAACCTTTTCGACTAACCATGTCTAGGATTTCATCACAAGCGATGATCTTAACTTCAGGAACGACAAACACCCATGAATTACATGGAATGACATTGGGGTCAGTTTGTTCATTGTCGGTATTCCCTAAGCCATTGATTCAATTTAATTTACATTTACCTTCATATACATCATCTGAATTACATAAACATCAATTTCTTGCATTACACATTTTGCCACCTACTTCACTGTCGGTTCATTTGAGTAGAATATTTGCCAAGGGTATCAAAAGCAAAGATGGTGAGGCGTTCCATGAAAAAACAAGACCCTTTCATAGATTGAAACACAATCATGATTATCTGTTTTATAATGTTGATGACATCAAGATTCCCGTGTTGAATAATGTGGAGACCACAATGATTTGCAAAACTAGACAAGATTTTCTTGTTGATGGACATGAAATATGGGTAGCTGACGTGATTGACATCTTACAAAACGAGCAATATAAGGAGAAATCAGGTGGCATATTATACTTTAATAGAGGGTTTCATAAAGTTGGGGAAACTTTAGTTGAAGATTAGAATACTGTATATATTTTTATTTTAATGAAATAGTGTATATAACCTATAATTCGTTGTACTCACGAGTCAAACTTTCAGTCTCTTGCATAATCTTTGGTAAAATTGTTTCAAATTTCTCATTGGTACGTTTGATTCTTTTGGTAAATTTGGCCAGGATTTCATTCTTCTTGATGTTTCTAAGATCAGTGGTTAAATTTTTGATTTCTTCTTGTTTGGCAAGTTGTTTATTGACCAATTTTTGGTTTTTAGCAATTACCAGGTTTAGTTCTTGATTTGCATTCTTCAATTCCAATTTGACTTCTTTTAATCTTGCTTCATATTCGGAATATACGTGTTCTAATTGTGCAATGTCTTTTGCTTGGGTGGTATCTTTGTCCTTGGATTGCTGTTGTAATTCCTTCTCCTGTTTGTTCATTTCAACAATTTGTTTTTCCAAACTTTGGATCTCATTTTCCAATTGCATGACAAAATGTTTCAACCCTTTAATCTTACCAAAAACACGGTTGTCATTACCTTGTTTGTTCCTTGAAATCTTATTCTTGAGAATCTCGATGGAATTTTTCATTTCAGTGACTTTCTTGTTTTCATCTTTTTTATACTTTTTAATCTTGGCTTTTGAGCTATCTATTTTGTTCATAATTGACTCTAATGAGGTTTGCAAAGTCGTCAATGATGACGTTTCCTTGATTGATTTGTTAATCACTTGATCATCGCCATTGGTAGTATTGACCACAAAATGATTCAAAACCTTTGAGTCTGACAAAACATCAACTTCATATTGAAACAACGGAGTTAGTCCATAGATAACAAGGTATTCTTCATCGATGACTTTGAAATATGACCAATTGATTCTATTCAACCTAATTTCAATATCTTCGGGAATAGTATCTAACAACTTGACAATCACTTTGGATGAATCAATCACCATGGTGGCCATTGGAACATTCAGTTGAACATCGTAATCGGTCAAAAACTCGCCACCTTCGTTCTTTCTCTTGGTCAGCTCTCCATTGAACAACGTAGGATTCTTCAAAACCGCTTTGACTGCAGCCACGATTGACCAAAATGGTTGAACAATAATGGTATTCTCAATAAGGGTGACATTTGGTGAAATTGTTGTGGTGATTAATGAAGTTGAAGTGGTGGAACTAGTCAAAGAGGTGGTGGTACTGGTGGTGGTAGTTTTCATTGCCAAATTTGACAATGAAGAAGCCCGCATACGGTTTTTAATCACCGATAACTTGCTGTTAAATGGGGATATGATGAAATTTTCAAAGTTCTTAAAGGCAATGGAGTAGTTCTGGTAATAGTTGCCCCTAAACTTTGGTGGGTTGTTAATATCTATGTTTAGCAATTTGTTATCATCAACATTGATGGAGATATCATCAGTGATGTTTGGAATTGAGCTTTGGGTGATAGGAGACTTTCTGCAAAACAATTGGATAATGGTATGGATACTTAAAAACAAATAAACTTGGATACCGACCTGATTGAAGTTGAGATTGTTTATATATGCGATATTTTTGAAACTTGAAAAGATTTGGAATGAAAAGTTGATCCAGTTCAACACATAATTGACATAGTTAATAATAATAAAACACACGATGGCATTGATCAAATTGCTGTTGAAAATGCGATTTTTATCATCGTATTGAATTTTGGTAGTAACTTTTTTGGAGGAAATTGAGTTTATATAGTTGATAGAAGATGAGCCGATAAACTCACTTGCAACGATAGCTTTGGATAAAATTACAAGGTAGTTGAAGTAGCTTTTCTTTCTGATGATTTTGCATAATGAATAAAAGACAAAACAATCAAGAATTCCCATCTTGATAAATGTAATAAAAGAGCGCTTCACATTCTCAAAAGTCAATTTGTGATTCTGAGGCAAAATGAAATTGATCAAGAAACGTCCACCCATAAAGTTAGATCCCAACATCAAGTACACTACCAAGATAGTTAGTGATACATATTGTGGAAATGAAAGCATGATGAAAACCAATGACAAAATGTCACGTAAACTGGATGACGAAGGAAAATTGGCCGATCCATTTTGGTACTGGTGGTGATGATGATGGTGGTGGTGGTGATGAAGATCCAGCAGAGAAGTAGAAGATGATGAACGCGATGTAGTTGCTTTCTCTAAAATCTCTGGGTTGATGACTTTACCGTTGGCATCGTGATAGTGGTGATGATGGTGATGAGATGTCGATGTCGATGTTGATGTTGATGTTGATGTTGATGTGGATATGGACGATGAGTGTGAACGCGTCATTGGTGACTTCAACTGTGAAGTGGAAGTTGATGAAAGATTTCTATTTGTTGTCAGGGTTTGTTGCATCTCATGAACAGTATTCTTCGTTTTTGAAATAAAACAAATTGACTCTAAGTAGAAACAGAACAACCGTCACTAGAGACTGACCTTTAACGAAATAAATGTATAAAAGGAAGGTAAGAAATCAAAAAAAAAGTACAATTCAAGTGGAACGACACTCAAGTATTTCTGACTGTTGGGTTATTGATAAATAGTATCTGTTGGATTCTGTTTCGGGAAACCCAATCTTTTTTTTTTCACCTGTAATTTTTTGTTTTTTTTTTTTGCTTTGGTAGTGGGAAAAGCAACGAAGAAAAAAAAAAAGGAGAACAAGAGCGAGGTGAGGCGAGAAAATTTTTTCTCTTAGTTCTGTGTTTGAATTTGGGGTTCGAGAAGAACAAAGGAGAAGCTTGATGAAATTGGTGCTTCTTCGTAGAGCAATTGGATAATGATGTTTGGTGGAAAAAGAGGAGTAATATGATATTGGTCGGGTGTAGCAGTAAGGTTTTAAGGAGAATTAAAAGAAAAAACTTCATTTAGTGACACAATCTTTTGGAAGGTTCTCTTTTTTTTTGCACCTGTCAATCTTTTTTTTCTTTTTTTCTTAGCAACCACGCGAGAGTAAGTCGATGAGATGTTGCTCGATAGGTAAAATATGCCAGTAGGTAGAGACCAGGTTGATGGATCTCTTTATGAGTTTTCTACGTGTCAAGTTTTTTTGTTTTGTTTTTTTTTTTTTTCTTGTAAATTTTGTTCAAATGTTTGAAGAAAATGTCAAAATTTACATCAAAGACCCAAGATGAGAATTAATAATTCTTATGAATTGCGATCTACAGTATACCACCACTTTACATACATGAATGGTTGTGCTATTATGGTTATATGATTAGTCATAAAATATTTTTTGCAGCCTATTTCTTAGTTACTATGTGTTGATGATGCAACGACGAAATTCGTAAAAAAGTAAAAGAAGACAAATGTTTATGTTTAATAAAGAAACACAAGTGTGTACATTGGCTTTTAACTTTTACTTGTAGTTTGCGGAAAATATGGTTACAAAAACCTGCCTAATATTTTTCCGTTGAATCCAAAACCGTTTAAGCATAGATGCGTGATGCACCGTTTCATGTGTTGGAGGTCGTTTGTGAATTTCGGGAGACACGCTTTTCTGATTTCATGAAATCGAGTGTTTGCTGCTAGCAATACTTCAGGTTTGTCTGGACTAACGAGTCCATTCCATTTTTAAACAAAGGTTATGTAGCTTTGTTTCTTCAATCACCATGGCTATAAATTTATCCCACTCAATGCTTCACTGTTATTTTTTATTTTTTTCTGAAGTTGTTCTCCACAAGATTCTTTATTCATTATGTAACTTTGTGTGTCTGTATGTGTGTGTGTTTGAGAGTGAATGTGGGCGATGGTAGGAGTGGGCTCGGAATACACGTATTTCATTCCGCTACACCTAACTCAAAACCGAATTCAGTCTAGTATAGATGTGTGCAAAATGTATCAAGGGTAAAATGCTATCAATATTTTTTATTTTTCTTCTTTACAAGTTTGTACTTTCTCTGAGCCCAGTGCTTGATTGGACAACAGTGGACTTAGTTTCTTGTTTATCTGCGTTGAGTGCATGTAAGATGAAATAGTCAAAAAAATATAACAAGGTTGTTCTTCCCTACGTGATGCACCTCTATTACTTGAGTGGTAGTGACACCTAGCATACAAATGATCTTATGTCATGCGTTCCGCATTTGGTTTGGGTAACAATACAGTATTTAATCCGAGTCAAATTAGTTCACAAGACAGAATTTCAGTTTTTTTTTTTTTTTCATCTTCTACAATAGGCATAACTTTTTTTTATGTTTTATAAATTGCACCGCATACAACACAATACAAATGCATGGCACACTTTCGAGCCAATTAATAAGATAAACAAACAAGATACCGAAGAACCCCAAAGGGAAACAAAAAGAAAGTTAATGGGGGATATTGTGGTGGTTTGTTGACCTATCTGTGCACAATTAGTGATGATGATGATGGTGATGATGAAGAGAGCTGATGGTTTTTCTAGTGTTCACTGTACGAATGGAACCTGCCATATACATATATCAATCTTGTGCGTTTTGGAAGGGGAACTGGGTGGTTGACAAACACCTGCCTAGATGCATTTTTGTTCGGGTAAGTATTATTAATAACTGCAGATTCTAAATTAATTAATTAATTTTTAAAGCAAAAGCGTGATTTTGTGTTATCATCTACCGCGACATTTTTTTTTCATTTCTTTTTCTTTTTTTTTTTTTTTAATTTTGTTTGCCTCTGGCCTTTTGATTTCATGATGCCTTGACATCGAGAGAAGACTGCGGACTGGCGGTTTCTTCATCTCGAAGAATTGGGCACCATTCAACGAGAAAGAAACAGTAATCCTAATACAACTGCCGGTCAGATATTGAAATATTTTGCACAAGTAGATGCAATTCACAGAATGTATTATGTGATCAAAACTAAAAACCAAATGTCAAAGTTACAATGATTTTTTCGGCAGTTTCTTTCTTATTTTTTTTTTTTTGTGTGTGTGCATACATTCGTCGATTGTCTTACACTCTCTCACTTGTGCTCATCTTCATACAACGAATTTCAACGGTTTAAATCTCCGAACCACAACTAAAATTAACATTACATAATGAGACAATGACTGTTATCAGTTTTCATTTATGTCCCAAAAAAACGAATAGCTTTCCCACAATCGTTATTAAAGTGTGGACCATTACCCAATAGTGAGTACTTCTTCTCTGTGTCTACTCATGTACGCGCACGTCCTATTCTAATGTGAGTTAATTACACTGCCATGCTGCTGACTATTTTGTTTTGTTCTTGCTGGTTTTGTATTATTCCTGACAAAGACTTATGGTTCATGCAGAATAAGACAACCAATAGTATATGTAGATGGGGGTATTTTCCAAAAACTCTTACCCTCTTTCAAACAATTCCAACCAATACAATCTTTTTGTTTTTGCTTTGTTTGCCTCTGATTTTGAACAATTTTTCTTAAACGAGCCAAAGAAGCTTTTAGGTAGAAATGGCGATGAAAAATCCACAAAACATTCGACTCATTTGGTTCACAGCCGATATGTCGAACAAAGGTAGGATTACGTATTTTTCTTTGAGTAAACAGAACAAAAAATAAAATAAAATAAAACAAAAACCCTAAGAATTATAACGTCAAGGGAAATGAAAAAACAAATGGACCATTCAAGTTGAAGGAAGAATGCACTGTAGGATAACACCTGAAACGAAAGTCATCATTATGCAAATAGCCTGAACCTCAACAATCAAATAATCAGAATAGTCAAAAAAATTTTTTTTTCTTTTACTTTTAAGAAAGAGGAGCGGAGCATAAAAGGGCGGTTAAAAGGGGAAGGCAATTAATTAATGACGGAATAAAATAAAGAGGAAGAGAGAGGAATTGTTTTATTGTTATCTCCTATTCAATTAATAATGCCCTTCTTTCCCTCCCTAAAAACCCCCAGAAATATATTCTATTGATTAAGATCCAATAAATCATCCAGGTGAACCACGTATCAGTTTACACCTATCAATGAAAACCCGGAAATGTCACAAATTGTCCACAGTGCACACAAAGTGGCAATACCACAAAAGTAATCTTTTTTTTATTTAATTTTGAAACTCAAAAAGAAAATTTTTTTTTTCTTTCTCTCTCTTTTATTTTGTTTTGGTTTCAAAGAAAGGACACTTTTGATTTCAAGAAAATAAATAAATAAATAAAAAAAAGTTCAACATCAGACATCTCACTCTTGTTTTCTTTTTTTTTGTTTCTTTCACATTTCAAACCATCAATCCATTGGATACACATCTATTCATTGAAGTAACCCATTTATTGTTGTGATATTTCAGATCAAAGACAACAAGGACAAAAGAAACACTCACCGATTAATATTGCTCAGCATAAAAAAATTTTTTTATAACATAATCCAACGACATTTTTTTTTTTGCCCAATTTCTTTAGACAAATAAAAAAGAAACTAAAAGAAAAAAAAAACTGTTAAGTCGTGCATAGCTCAACAATCCTCATCACATCAATTTTTTTTTTTTTTCAACTAACTCACTAAATAAGTCTCATAAAAATAAAACGACGGACAAAGCGAAGAGAGAAGAAAGAAAAAAAAAAAACAACAATCAAAAATTCTTTCATTTTCATTTATCTTTCTTTCTGATATATATATCCACTTATATTACAAAGTAAAAGTATCATCATCTCCATATATTCCTGATACTCATTTAAGATATATACAAGAGAATAATAGGTGATTTCCTCCAATAATATTTGTCTTGACAGATTTATTCCAACTATATTCCATTCTTGATTCTTGTGTGATCTTTTTCTTCCTTCCTGAAAAAAAAATCACAACAACCACAAAGTTATTGACCAACTCTAGCTCATCGTTAGAAAAAAAAAAAGAAAGTGAAAAAAAACCTGTATCGTTTATATACCACCAGTGTCATATGAATCAAACTTTAGTGAAAATGATGAATTTGCCTAACGAAGATCCAAGTGTATCTGCAGAAGAGGCTGCTGCTGCTGCTAATGTTGCAACTATCATTAAGAATGAAGACTCGATACACCATCAGTATGGTCACCAGAACATACCG